AGGAAGGTAAAAGTTTCTTTTTTAAAAAATCGTTACTGGTGACAAGACATGGAGTCTGAGAGTAAATGAGAGAGTATAGAATGGAAACATCCTAAATTACCGACAAAGAAAAAGTTCAAAAGTCAACCATCACCTGGAAAATTAATTCGTACAGTTTTCTGGGACTCTCAAGGACCAGTATTGGAAAACTATGAGAAAAAGGTTCAACAATCAACAGTGAGATGCTCACTGAAGAGCTGAAGCCTAAATTTTGGATTAAATAGGCAGAGGACTGCTACCCAAGGGCACTGTGATCTTGCATGACAATGCATGTCAGCACAACTCTGCCCACACTGTTGACACTCCTCAAAATGAAGTTTTAAAGCATACCCCGTTCCCCCGCCCCCATAGTCCTGATCTTGCTCCATCAGACTTTCACCTCTTTGGACCCCTGAATGCAGCCCTTGGATGATGAAGATTCACCTCTGATTAAGAAGTGAAGATAGTAGTGCATTTGTGACTCACAGCTGAGCCTAAAACATTTTTAAATAAGGGGATACGAAAGCTTGTTGACAGATGGACAAAGTGTATTGAAAGTCAAGGAGAGTATATAGAAAAATGATTTGTCTTTTTTTAAGTTTGATTAAAATAGATCTTACAGCCAGAGTGCAGACACTTTTTGACTCACCCTCAAGTATGTGTGTGTGTATTGGGAGTTGTTGTTATGTGCCTTGGAGTCGGTTCCAACTCATAGCGACCCTGTACAGGGTTTTCAATGCTGTAAATCTTTATGGTAATAGAAAGCCTCATCTTTCTCCCGCAGACCCCCTGGTAGTTTCAAACTGCTGACCATGAGATTAGCAGCCCAATTCATAACCACTACACTACCAGAGCTCCTTGTGTATTGGGAGAGTGGTGGCTTATCCTATCATCCTTTAGTTCAGAGATAATGATATAAAAGAATACAAATTCCCCTTCCAAGACTGAAACTCAAAGGGAATACATGAGCATGCATGTAAGCTTGCTGGTGACCATGTTGGTCTACAGGTGAGTGGAAGTGGTGGAAAGCAGCAATGAAGATGTGGGCTGAGTTCCAGCATGTTGCACAGACTCCTGTTGACCTGGAGATGGGAGAGAGGAGAGGAAGGGCTGGTTGGTCCAAAGTATGGTGAGACCTGGGCCCATGGACAAGGATATAGCCATGGAGGGCTAGAGCTGAGAATGAAGCATCAAGTTGATATGAAGTGAGGGGAGACGCACAAGAACACCCAAACTTGCAGATAGTATGCATTTGACCTAGCCTCAGTAGCTGAATAATCAGAACTTGACTAAAGGAAGATAAAAACATTTTTGATAAAGGAAACAAATATAAATTGCTACATTGGCTACCTAAAATGGGGGGTGGGGGTGTGGCAGCTATAAAGGCACAAAGTGACTGCTGGCTTACAAGTTTTCAAGAGGTACTTTAGTTTCAGAGTGTGTAGGGGAAGGTAGAATCCCCAACGAATAGTTTTCATCTTGTCTAGACAGGTCTGGTGAAAGGAGATGGGGTTAAGATTCTTATGATTTAATAGTAATTGTTATGATTAATTGTGATTGTCACAACTATAAAGGTAGAAGTTTTGTAACAAAAAGGGGGGAGTAGTTAATCTTACCGTCCAGGAACAGAGAACCCTAAGACCATCAAGGGAGATGAGCATTAGCAGAATGTGGGACCCTATCCAGAGAAGCAGCGACACCAGAGATGGAGGCAGAAATGATGACATGGAGAGAGAGAGCAGCTGAGGACTCTAGACTCATGGAAAGAGAAAGGCTATGTGCTGACAGCCAGGAAGCAGGCTTGCAGAATGTGCCCTTTGGTTATTAAAATTATTATATATTCCTGAGAGTTTTGGTGTACATTGAAATAAAAACAAAGGGAATAGAAGCAAATACTGCTGAATAATGATGCATGGAGGGGATTGTAATCATTGCAATGAAATGAAATATGATAGAATGAGTGTAAAACTGATGTTCTCTCATGTGAACTATCACTCCATTCACAATAAAAACTTTTTAAAAAAGTACAAATTCATGAGTATGTGGGGACTGCTGATAATGTCTGAGTGTCTCAGGGATCTCTGGGGTGCATAGTGGCTGATATTCCTTATACGTTCCAGTATGCTGAGTGGTTTCATAACCACTCAGAAGAACCCATCAGTGGGTGACTGCTCAGGCTCCTAAACAGTGGATATGAGGTCTTTGTGGGAAGTCTCTGTGAGGGCTCTGTGAGGTATTTGTGGGATGTCTCTGTGAGAAATACTTGTTTAAGGCCTCTGAGGAGGTCTCTGGGAGAGATCTCTGTGGAAGTCTCTGTATGGATTTTTTGGGAGGTCTCTGTGGGGTTCTGTGGGTACTCAGTGAGAGGACTTTGTGACCTTTCTATGAGGGTCTCTGTGGGGGGTCTCCGATCTAGAGATACTACATGAAGTTTCTATCTGAAGTACTATATGCAGTCTATGTGAGGTCTTTGAATCTCTGAGGTAGTATGTGTGTGAGATCTCTGAGAAGTCAGTGATACCTCTCTGTAAGGTCTGAGTTCTCCTTAGGGATCTCTGTATGAGATGACTGTGTGGGTTATGTGTGTGATCGCTATAGAAGTGATCGCTCTATGGTATTTTGTGGGTTTCATTATTGCTGGCCTTACACCACCTTATGGAAAGACATGGCGGTAGGAGAAAGGGAAGGGACTTGCTGCATTTACTTTTGTTACCATTCTGTCAGCTTCATTCCATCTGTGCATCTCTCTGGCAGGAGCAGTGGAGTTCAGCATCAGTTGGTTCGGTGTCCAGTTCCTCTCACACTTCCAGATCTCACCCTAGACACCTCTATGCCTGAGAGGCCTCTCTGTCCCTGCTTGCTGGTCCAGGTTCCATTTCTTACAGTTACATGCACTCTGGGGTCTACCTTGGAACCAAGGTTCTAGAGGAAGCATCTGGCTGCAGGGGGAACTCTGTGGTAGCAGCAGACTCTAGGGTTCATGCCCACTCCCCTCCTCTCTATCCCAGGAGCTAGCCCAGCTCCACATTTGATACACGGAGGGCAGGGCTTGATGCACAACTCGAGTTCAGTGTTGTCTAGATCAGTGGCATCTCGTGGAGCACAAATCTCCACCATGGGTGCTGGCCTTCACTTTGAGCCCTGGATGTGGCACAAAACACATGCAAATTTTCTGTAGAGATGCCGCTCCCTCATCACCCTGTTTGGGACCCTCCTGCCATCTCATATGGTGTGAGTCTTAGAGAGGAGGAAAATCAATCTTAGAAGCAGAGGGAGAGCAGGGACAACTCCTGGATTGCTCCCTCATTTGGATAGGTCACTTCCAACTTCTTTCTATGTGCATATCGTGTCAGATTTCTAGGGTGTCCCTGGCGTAAGCAAGGACTGGGGGCCAGGCTTGACTTGCTTTGTATCCTAAACTCTTTAGAACCCCCTTTCTCTTGTGAGCACATGAATGTGTAAAGAGCACCAGACTGAGAGTCATATCCCCTGAGTTCCCTAGTCCTGGCTTTCCCTCTATTAATTCATCTTTCTAGCACTCAAGAAGTAAAAGTCAAATAAAATGATGGTGAATGATTTTACTAAATATGTTACTGGAAATTAAACTTTCCTTAAGACTTCATTTACTCTGTAAGCCTGACCTTCTCTGTAAAAGATATATTCTCTGAGGTGGGAGTTAAAGCATGGTAAAGGCCTGGGGTCAAGTCCCTAGCTTCTTCTTCCCTTCTCTAAGCCTGAAGAAGGTGATGGTAACTCAGGTGGCTCCTTGTTTAATGCACTGTTTCTGGGCACCCATATGCTGCTTTGTCTTCTTTACTGACTCCAATCCTTTCAATTCTTCTTTACCACATCCTACCCTAGGTCCACATTGGCCAACTATTGATGGTGCTATAGGATCAGTACTGGACTGTTAACCACAAGGTTGGAGATTCAACCAGCCACTCCTTGGAAATCCTATATAAGGTTGCTATGAGTCAGAATTGACTCGACAATACTTACACCACCACCACCACCACCACCGCATATACACTGACCCTGAGCTTTCTGTTCCATCTCTGGGTTTAGATACTTAGGAAGGTAGGTAACCTGTGAAAAGAGCACTGAGAGGATATACTTTCCGTTTGGTGCAGAGGGTAATCATGACCCTCAGTTGCCTCCTGGGCAGCTCCCCACCCACATGTCACAGAGCAGGAAGTCATCCTTGTTGCTGCCCTAGATTATGAGAGAGGTAGAGGCAGGGGAAGAGTGTCGCTTTGTATTTCTTTATGGGTAAACTAAGAGAAGGGCTGGAGTCTTGGTGTGGCACTGTAAGATACACAACACTGGACTACTAATCATAAGGTTTGTTGTTCAAACCCACCATCCACTTCTTGGACAACATATGAGTCAGAACCAACTCCAAAGCACTTAACAAAAGGAGAACCACTGAGCCATCTCCCCAACCTTCATCAAGGAAAGAAGCGGTCTCAGAGGTAGCTTCCAAATATCTTGCACCCACTTTGTGACATATGAAGTTATTTGGCTTCAACATTTGCTGTAGCCTGAATGGGGATTTCCTGGGCTACTGTGTCTCTACAAATCCATCATCTTGCAGCTGTACAAAGGGCAAGGCAGAAAGCAGGGGAACCGGATCCTGGAGTGGGATATTCATAGATTTCTCTCATCTTGACATCCCCTGGATACTTTTGTTTACTTTTGTATTGATACTGTTATGAAAGCATAAGGCACAAACTAAGGAACCTGAAGTGGAAATGGGTATACAGCATTATTATCAACCTCCTTCCATGCCCAGCCCTTTCAGAAGCCAAGCTGGCACTCAGGTAAAGCAGATGACCTCTCCCCTACAGCCCAGCACAGGACAGACAGAAACCACAAACCTCTAATGAAAAACAAAATATTTTATTGGGGAACAGTAAGTATCTCAACTGAGAGAAACCATTAGCACATAGAGGATATTAAGTTGGCATGGACTGAATGTTTTCTTAGATAGTTTTCCTACTAAGAAGAGCGGAAGAAGCGTGTTCTAATTGACCAGACAAGACGTATTCCCGAAGACAGTGACGTGGGCAGTGGTGACTTGAGGCACCCCAAAACCTTGTTCCATGCTGCTGGTAACTGACCGGAGATATGAGCTCCTTAGGGGGCAATGGCTTGTCGGTGATCTTGAATCCTACAAGTTTCCAGAGATTTCTGCATCTATCCCTGATCCAACTATTCCTGGTAGGATGGCTCTGACCTTTAGAGGTGTCTTGGTGATGGCAGGCTGTAACACTCATCCCTCTCTTGTTCTTTGGGTAGGAGGGAGCCCCGCATTGGAAGAAATGTCCATCAAGTGGGACCTGGGTTCCCTTTTGTGAACTTAATCTTGAAGCATGAAGTCCTTGCTGAAGCACCATTTTCTCCTCTAGAATTTGACCTACAGCTGACATAAGTACCTGAGCCTCAGTGGCCTCCTTATCCAGAAAGACAGATTTTCTTTTGACTGGTCCACGGTTTGGACCAGAGGTTGACATGGGTTTTTCTTTTTGCAGAGGATCATTCTGCCCTTTATCTTTTTTACTGGGGAAAATCCACTGGAGAAAGTGCATCATCCTTTTTTTAAAGTGGCCCTCAGGCAGAACTTGTCCCTTCTCTGGTGGTAACTGGGGGGACTTGATCTTAAGGGACTCTACCAACTTCTTGTCTTGGGCAGGTTGGCTCTTCCCACTGACTTGAGAGGCTCCCAATCCTGCCAATCCTTCTTCATGCTTTTTTGGTTTGGGTTTCTTAAAGTTCTTTCTCTTTTCAGTGGGAGCAGAAATCTTGCTCTGGCTCTTCACTGGGGCATGAAGGTTTGGGATCTTGGGGTCTTGCTGCCCTAGGCTGCTTCCTTTAGCAGCCATTAGGTCACTTAGCACTTGGGAAACTGGCATGTCCCTACTGAATTCATTCTGGGGACAGTGCTCAGAAGTCTGAGAAATCAAGTTATTTGTGGCAAGGAGCACATCAGTGGCACAGCCTTGAAGAATCCTATCAGTTGCACAGTCCTGAAGGAGCACATCCATGGGAGAGCCTTGAGACCCACTCTCCGTCTCTACCTCCATTTGAAGTGTAATCTCACTACGCATCCGTGCTTTAAGGTATGTCTTTCCTGGAACTTGAAGGGGCATTCTAGGAAGTGGGGGGCTTTTATTAGTTCCTGGAGCCTCTAAACCCTTCAGATCCACATTTGTGGCTTCAGATTTTGTCAGCAAACTGGTGCTCAAAATGTCACTATCTTGTGGCTGTTGTACAGAGGACTTCTTGACCACCACCATCTCCTTGGTCTCTTTCGTCCTTAACGAAAGGGGATCATAGCTCATTTTAAATCTTTCTTTGCTAGGGCTAGGACCTTCTGGGGCACTTTCTTCCCTGGAGCCCTTCCTGGTCATTAATTGACTTATAACTGATTCTAGGACAGTCCCACTCTGTAAGGTTCTGTCCACAGTGCTGGGTGTGAGGGGCTGGAAAGGTTGTTTTTCTGGGTGTGAGGGGCTGAAAAGGCTGCTTTTCTGGTCACTCTGAGGGGCCTCTGAGGGCCTTTTGTCATTATCCGGTGGCATCCATGTCAGAGTTCTCATGGCTTCCTCACCTACAAGTGAAGGGGCAGGGAAAGGACTCTTCAGAGTGGGGACTGATTCTTTTGGCATAACCCTTGCCTGAAGGTTTTCTTCTAGGAACTTGGAAACCTTGCCTCTTGAGTCTACCCATGATTCATGGATTAATGGAGAGAGAAAGGTGGATTGCAAATCATTGTCCTGTCTTGTCTTAAAGGTGTCTATGGACTCGCAGACTTTGAAGGGTAGAGACCATTCTTCGTTCCTCTTCCAAAATCTTACAATATGTAGTTCTAGCATCTGTTGAGTGTCCAAATTGAGAAAGGAAAGCTCCTGAGAAGTGTTCATACCATACATCGGACCTTTCATGGATGCCAGACTTCTGGTTTTCATGGGGGCATCAGCCTTGGACAAAGCATGGTTGGCAGCAAGCCGGGAACAGTGTACACTCACAGGGATCTGACCCTTTATAATCTGCTCTGACTTCCTGCCTAAATGGACGTTCAGGACACTTTCTAATTGTTTCTTGTTTGGGCCCCTTAGTAATATGTAATTTCCTGAGTCAATCCCTGAGTGCCTCATCAAATCACTTTTTGACTCCTTCTTCGAGTCTGCCCCCAGAACTTTCCCTGGGGAGTTTTCTGCTTCCTGGAAGACATGATCTTTGGAGATTTTCTTCAGATTACGCCTCCAATCATTGACGTGGCTAGCACGTAAACTTCTTGAGCTTCTGGATCTTCCTGGGTGCCTGGTCTTCTTCACCTTCTTCCTGCTTTTACCTGTATGTCTGAAGGACACAGGGAGATCATGCTGGTCCTTTGCCTGACATGCCCTTGGCAATTTTTCCTGAGGCTGTAGTAGTGCCACAGGTTCTTGAATAGTGCTAGGCAGATCCCACTGTTGTTGAATAAACCTCTTTTGGAGGTGTTGCTCCAGTTGCTTCTGGAGCTCAAGGCTGATGAAATCCCCATGAAAGACAGAGTCTGATTTGTGGATCTGAGGGGCCTGACTGTCACGCGGAAGAGTGGAACTGAGAGGAGTAAAAGCTTCCTTTTGAGATCTTTTGACCATAGCTGGTAAAGAACTCTCACTTTCCAACTGCTTCTTCAAAAAGTGACATTCCAGGCTTTGAATTACATTTGGGGTGGCTGATTGGGCCTTCTTCTGGACTGAAGAACAGGATTCTTCACAGGCCCTGGTCTGAGAAGTAGAAAAAGGTAGTATTCTTGGGACAGAGGATTTAGGATGGGCCTGGGTCAGGACTGGAGCCAGAGGTGGGTCCTGGGATTGGGACCTGGTTGAAGTCAAAGGTTGGAATTGGGTCTCAACGTCAGGCAAAGGCTGAGATTGACAAACCGGTGGTAATTCTTTAGTCTGCATTTGAATTGGGAAGGCATTTGAGATTCCATTGAATAAAACAGAAGGATATTCTAGCATGGAATCTGAGACCCTGACAGTAGCCACGAGGGACTCACTGTGCAGGAATGGTAGACCCCAGAAGAGCTGGTTGCATTTTTGCTGTAAATGCTTCTGAGTACTGGGTAGATGTTCTGATTTGATACTTGTGTTCCAGAAGAGTTGGGGATGTATACTGTCTTGCTTCTCACCAAATGCCTTCAATATATTCTTTAAAGAATCCAGAGGGTATTCTGATTCCTCCTTTTGTTTTTCTTTCCAAATCTTCAATCCCACTCTCTTAGTGATTTGTATTTCCAGCAACTTCTGGGCATCAGGATTGAAGAAAGCAGGGCTCTCCACTTCCACCTGCCTGCCTGTGGGTCCTCCCCAGAAAGCATCTTCTTGTGGGTGACAGAAAGTATGCTCTTGAGGGGTTTCCAAGTGTTTCATGGTAGAGAGACACAAGGCCTTGGCAGCTGCCTGACACCAGGAGAGGGTGGGAATGGGACGGTTTTTGGAGCCAAGGCCTGTGATGGTTGGAGCAGAAGACTCCAACCAGCTGTTGTCTGGACTAGGCCTCTGCTGGGGATTCACAATCCAGTCATACAGTGAACCAGTCAAAGTGGAGTGTGGCTGTGGCTGAAGACACTCAACTGAATCCTGGACTAGTGAAGGAGGGGGAAGAGCAAGGGGTGGGGGTGAAAGATTGGCCAGTTCTGGTGGTGGACTTAGGGCGGGTAAGAGATCAGAAATTGAGGGGGTCATTAGGTCTGGTAAAAGAGTAGAAGTCAGAGGTGGAGGGGACTGGGTCTGAGGAACTGTGGAAGCAGATGGGAACATCAACAGTGTAGCACTGTCTGAAGGATCCATGCATGATCCATGGGCTTCAGCAGGCGCTCTTTTGCATACCCCATCAGAAGGATCTCCGCATTTCTGTTGATGAAGGCTGCCTTTGTCGAGGAGGTTTTCCACGTGGCTGCAGGAGACAGGGGGGATCAGGCTGCAGCCAGAAGTGAAAAGCAAGGTAGGCCTAGAGGGGTAGGGGAACCTTCAGCCCAGGCCCTGCCCTTCCCCACTCCTGCTCTCCTCAGCCCCCAAGGGCTGCAGTCACATTCCTTCCCTGCCTGCAAGAGCCCTCCAAGTCAGTCTAGCCAGGCTGCTTTACAGCCCGGGGTTTATACAGGAGCCCTGGCTGGAAGTTGGACACAGGAGAGAAGGGGAGAGGTTACTCACTGTTGCAAACACAAAATCAGGTCTCGAGTTTCATGTAATTCTTTCAGGCAACTTCTACAAGCTGAAAATGAAGAGAGCAGAGTGTGGGTGTATGATGCCTAAGGAAATGGACTCACTGGAAACTGACTGGAATGTCCCTCAGGGACACGGTTGGGAGATTAAACTCTAAGAGCCCTAGTGTCAGAGGCCACGGTCACATGATCACTGATACTCACAACAAAGCTCATCTGTGTGATGTGCTTTGTCATTTACAAAGTGACATTTACAAAATTTACTTTCATTATCCCCTATGAAACCTCATAGAGGAATCTGAGCCTTGTCAAAGTTAAACAGTTTGTCCTAGTTGGATTTGGATGTTCCATCTCCAAATCCATTAGTTATCAGTTTGCAGGGCAACGAATGATTTATTACGGCCTTTCTAGCCAAATTTCTCCATTTTGTGATATATTGTTAATCCTAGCCTCTATGCCTGTGATTATGGACCCACTTTGAAATGAGTTACTAAGCAGCAGGATGATGCACTAGACCGCAAGTTTGGTTTGAACTGCAAGGTTCAAACTCACCAGTGGTTCTCAGAAATTCTTTACAGGGTCTCCATGAGTGTGAACCAACTAGACAGCACTTAACAACAACAACAAGAAGGAGTAAAGATTACAGTGGAACTAATGTTAAATGGAGTCCTGGTATGGCACTACAGGTTAATGTGCTGGACTGCAAAGTAGATTAGAACCTCAAAGTTCAAGGTCACCAGTTGCTCCTCAGAAACCCTATGCAGGGTTGCTGTGAGTCAGAACTCACATGACCATGTTTAACAAGTATTAAGAATGCCCACATTGTAGGAGAGAGTGTGACTCAAGTCACCACCTTTAGATCCCCTTGATGGCATGGTCTGACTCAAATTTATGACTGCTTTATAAAGCTTGCTCTCTTGCCCTGGATCTTGCGTCTGGATCATTATGCCTCACCTCCAGTTTGTGGGATTTAGGCCAGTCACCTGACCTGATTCACCAACTCCTGCAGTGTCATGCATCAACCACCTGTCATCTGACCTGCCCAATTGGGTTCCTCAGCTCCCGAGACTATGTAGGTGAGAAGATAACTCCAGATTGATTTCTGAACTGTGGATTTGGGAGAGTTGCCAGCCTTCACAATTATGTGAGCCATTTCTTTTGATAACTGTGAGTTTGGTGAGACATTGCAGCATGTTGCTGAACCCTGGGGACTTGTGGGAAGGGAGGAGTAGTGATGGATATCAAGGAAAACGGAGGGGCATAATATGTTGGAAAAGTCGAACAGTTGGGTATCTTTAACCTCCAACTCCCAGGGACCAACTTTGTGTAGATTTTTATAAAAGAAATTATTCATGTACAGTTCCTTATATCCCACACTGTCCCTACTGGCAGCCCAACTGCCAGGCTTCATCCCACAGATGGGCCGAGCATGGAATCTGAGAAATAGCTGGGTCCTGTTTCCTTCCCCAGGAGCCCTCCTCTAAGGGGTGTTTCCAGATAAAGACACTCTCCAGCAACTGGCATCCCCCAAGACCATGTACTATAGGGACAGGAGAGATGGAAGTTAGTGCTTGGGAGCTCAATTGAGTGGGCAGAACTTTACCTTTCACAGTGCCACTTTTGCTTTTCTTCCTGTTCCTCATCCTTGTCACCAGTTGAGCCTGATAATGCAAGAAAAGAATGAGGGATTGGGACCCAGTTCTCTCAGTTCTTTATGACAAACTGTAGACATTTAGTACTCATTAATACAATGACATTCTACACTGAATCAATAGAGCTCTGTTTTTGTCCCCACACACCAATACTTTTATTTGTTTTTCTTTTACAGTGAATAAAATTATTTTCTATGTAAGATGTAGCCTGGATTTCTTGTTACCATTCCTCTGCTCAAGGAAGCAAAGACTCTCAACCTAAAAATACCTCTGTGTTCTGTCAGGTAGAATTTTGTTTCTTTTCTTTTTTTCTTTTTTATTGTTTCTATCAATATATATTTATTGAGGTCCTACTACTTTGTACTAGGCTCCCAGGTGCTAGTCACTTTTAGTTAACAAAACTAAGAAAAATTAAAGCAAAAGCAGAAACATAATCAACCAGTGATCACACATTCAAAACTGGCAAGTGTGGAAATACGGCTTGTTTGTCTGGAAGTTGGAAAGAGAACATATATTCTTAACCTTCATCTCTTAAATAGGGTTATGTTCTTCCTGGGATTTTCAGATCTTTCCTCACAAATCTCTTCCTGATAGTTTTTAACTTTGCCCAATAAATTAAACCACAGAAT